ATGGAGAAGAAACAGCATGGGGGGAGGCAGAGTGGGTACCTTTTAGAAGAACATACATGAAATTCCACTTTGAAAAGCATAATAAGGAACTGCTCCTGGTAACGTAAAACAGGGTCTCTGACTTGTTTTGTTGATCTTAGTAAAACAGGCTCAATAGTGAACTCTTCACTGGGGCTAAATACAGGAATCCATACACTCTGAAAGTATGCATACAGGGGCACAGGGCTGCCACGCTGTTTGTGCAGAGGCACCCAACATGAAGAGCTGGCAAAGTGGTTCCATTTTGCAAACACAGTTTCTTGAAGCTCTCCAGCCATGCTGTATGTGTGTTGTCAGCTTAAGACAGCTAGCCCCAGACTTGGGATACACTGGCTGTGTGCCTGCCCTTCACCCAGGCAGGGGGCTGGAGTGGGGGACTACAATGCCTGACAATTCCTACTGACAGCAGTTGCCTTGTTGGATAGCAAATGGCAGAGCAGGCTTTAAAATACTCCCTCTTTCACTCAATGACAACTCTCTGTATGTCAGAGATGTTTTCATTATTTAGTGGCTAAAATATCCCATGATATAATAACATTTTTTTTCTCAGCTATTTAAAGAGTTTATTTCCCCTGTTTTCAGTAGAAAGGAGGAGTTTGCTTCCTTATTTACTAAGCACTACCATTTGAAAGAAGAATGTTGAATATCACTGCATGGTACTGTTGGATTTAGTATGCCCACATTATTCTTGTTGTTATTCTTTTTATTATTCTCCCTGATGCAGCTGAAGCACTTAAAGCTCCAAGTAAAAGTGGTATCCAACTATGTTGACTGCTATACAAACAAGACTGTCCCTGTTCATAAGGAATTCTTCTGTAATTTCTTCTGTCTCTGCATGTTACAATTTATTCATATGCCTACTGAGTTTCAAGTCAGTGACACTTTACTCTTCCATTAATATCCCAAGTCTTGCTTGAATATTTATTCAGTTGCTTTAATTCTTTGTCTAGAAACTGCTTTTTAAAAATGTTAAAGATGATTTCACATTTTAATATAAAGCTCTATAATGTGTATTTTCCACATCCTGTTTGAGGAAGTGACCAGGATACAGTAGTTAGAAAGCAGAAATACTGTGGAATCAGGAAAAAAAAAAGGCTTATTTTGCAACATTTCTGATGCAGACAAATCAGGAAGTACAGATTTTTCTAAAGAAAGCATGCTGTTGTTAGGCAATCTTCTGCTTTGTTTCTGAAACATCTATCTACCCACTAATGCAGAATTCTCACTAGAGAACAGATCAGAAAAGAAAGATGTTTTCCTTAATTGTATTCTGATTGTGAAAAAGCGCAGACTCACAAAATCTGAGCAAACAACAAAGAAAAGATGAGTGAAAAAGTAATTAAAATATGTTTTCATAAGACATCCATATATGATAAATATGAAATATCCTTCATGGCCACAATATATATTTTCTAGGCACAACATTCTCTGGTAATTTCTGGTTTATTCTTGAGTGTGTTGTATTCTGAGAAATCTTCTGCACGTGACACATAGATGAAAGTCAGTGGGAAACCTGTTCCCATGTAGATTTTAAAGTAGGAGCATTTTAAGTTCTACAGAACTCTATGATTTTCTGTTAACTTTCTTAAAGACGTCAAAACATTTATAGCATGTATTTTAAAGGGTGCAATATCCATCCAATAAACACTAACATTTCTTTCAAAGTATACTTGTAATAATAATTTTTCACACATTTTCAGAAATGTGTAAATCAGTCTAAAAGAATTATTGTTTGTATACCAGCTGCTCCTCCCCACTATGTTCCATTAAGGTTTTGTCACTGGTTTTAGTAATATTTATTTTCAGGAATGCCACAGAAACCACAACTTTCAATTACATTTGCTTACAGACATGTAAAAGAAACACATGTAAAAGCAATTAATAAAATATATATATTATTAATAAATTATATATATTATATATTATATATAATTTATATTTATATTATATAATATATTATATATATATATAATTTATATTTATAATAAATTATAGCGTTCACAGTTCCCTGAAAGTTAGTTCCTGCAGTTTCTCAGTTCAAGAACCTGGGCTCACCAAAACAATGAGCACAAATCAAGCTGCTCACTTCTCATTCTGAAGAATGTCACTTAAAATTGTCATAGAACAAGCAGCACATTTTTATAGAGTAATTATTTTTATCCTTCATTCCTATTTCTTTCTTATTCAATGTATAATTTCTCTGTGGGCACTTGGATTCAAAGCTTTTTGGTATCAAAAGACCTCTAGTTGACTTAGCAGAGCTTTGAATGGGCCTGGGCTGCTGTAAGGTGGGAGCTAATGAAAACTGTGGTTTGTTCTCTCCTGGTGCCCTCTCAATAAAGTTTGCCAAGCTGAATAAAAAGCAGTGGCTCTGTTTTTTTATGAAAGGAAACAAGGCTGTGCAGAGTGCCACCACCAGAATTATCTACCAAAGTTCAGTACAGGCTGGCCAGCACTGAGACAGGATTTACCTCCTAGTGTGTGATGAGAGATGAGAATTCAATGCTTTGCTTTGCTTTTTCTGCTTTCCTTGTGTTAAAAAAAAAAAAAAAAGCTCAAGGCTTTGCACTGAATGAATTGTATTGTGAATCTGCGTTGGGGGACGAGGGGGGAGGCAAACTAGTCATAAGTACATTCAGTTTTACCTCCTTGAAGTAAGAAAGGAGTACTGGGAAGGACTACTGAGCACTAGCTTGTATTAAAATACAAGATTACTTTTCAGTATTTCAGACAAATTGAACAATATTTTAGCATATATTTGTCCTCAAAAATACTAAAGAATGCATATTTAGCAATGATCTTTCCACCTTTGGAGCATGTTTAAAATAAATTATTTTCTTGAGATGGTATAGCTACTCCCTGAAGAAGAACATTAATTTATTATGTTCAGATGTCTTCACACATGAGGGAGACCAATAGAACACCCTGGGTGGGATGTATGAATTTTAAAATGACTTTCAAAGGAATTTCTTTTTTTCATGTCATACTAGAAAATTGTCATTTCCTTGTTATGATTGTAAATGCACTTCCTTTCATTCATGCAGAAAGTCCAAAAAAGATCAATTACTTTCTGTGACTCTGGAAAGCCTCTCTAAATAGAAGCTTATATAAATTTGTGCTTTTTAAAAATTAATAGAACGAGTCATCAAATATCTGTGTATTAGAAGTGTACAGCAGCACGTGAAAAAAAGAGTACACAGGACAAATATCTGCCACCACTACAGGGGGAAGAAGAAAAACCGGACTCACGTGAGTGATGGCTGTGCAGCCAAGTGCAAGTGAGAAGTTGAGGGTAGCCTACATCTGACTCTGCCAGGCATTTCCTTTAGTGTTTTGACCTACCTGTTAGTGTGCCCATTGTTCAGTCACTTTTAATTAAGATACATTACCTCGACACCTCAGATACCCCACACAGAAATGAATGTACATACATGGATTCCATATGTACAGTAAATCTGACATGTCCAGGCAGATCTGGGCCAATCTGACCGAGATAAGAAGGGACAACACATGTGAAGTTTTGCAGAAGCACTGGCATCTCGTGTGGGTGCTGTGCAGTCAATCAGGGCATGTCTGATGCTTTCCCCACAGTGAGCACAGAACCTCTGGAAGAGCCTTATGCCATGCTCCTACACTGGCAGCAGGACTGCAGTGAACACATGTTATTTCCCACTTGCTGGCATCTTCTGCTGATCTGGACATATGAAAGTCATGGACAAATATTCAGGAACATCAAACGCCATCCATACAATGTTTTGTAGTGGAAAGGGAGGACATGTCTGGGGAAACCCAAATTATGGGAATAATCTTAACCTTAGAATGCATCAGATGGAACAACAGCATCTTACACCAGGACGAAGAATCCAGGTGTGGCAGTCTGAGCCACATTAGAAATCTAAAATCCAATTTTTAGGCTTCCCCCACCCCTTCTCAACAATTTATCCTAACAACAGAGAGAAACTTTCAGGCCAGAGACTTCTGTAGGGGAAGAATATACATTTATTTACACAAATAAATACTATACAAACTAAAGGCAACTATATATATATATATATATATATATATATTACATTACTATCGGTCAGTCCTTTCAAGCCCCTCCTTTAACTTTAGTCCAGGAGCAGCCTTTAAGGCTGATATGTAACACAGTCTTTTGCTGTGGGAGTGTTCTGGGCTCCTGAACACTCCCTCCTCACCAAGTTCCAGCAGTTGTTTGTTGTAGTTTCTCCTCCTCATGAAGTCCGAGAAGACAGCTTTGAGTCTTTGCTCTTCTGTTGCTGGTGATTCCTCCCTCTCGGTGTCTCACCTCTGTTCGTAGTGTAGTTTAGTTTATCAAGCGTCCACATCCTGGAATCTTCATTCCTCCACATCAGTTCTCAGCTGCCCCCCGTCAGCTTCGGCAGGCAACTCTCGAGCTCTTGGCTTATCCCCAATTTCGCCTGGGACTCTTCTCCCGAGCGCCAGGCCTACTTCCACCGCCCGTCTCTTGGCTCAACTCCAACTCTGAGCCCTTCCTCCACTCACAGTGGAGGGAAAGAAAAAGCCCCCCTCTACAGCTTCACTGCAGAAAAGGAGGGGGAAGAAGGCTTGGCTGCAAAGCCTGCCTCTCTCCTCTTACCTCAGGTGCTGTGAATTCTTCTTCCACAGCACACACTCCAAATGCTGACTCTAAATCTAGCCAAAGGCTGAGTTGGGGGATCACAGGGCTTCCTTCTCCACCCGGAGGGGAAGAGAGGGAGCCCAGCCACCCCCTGGCCTTGTCCACCTACACGCAGCAGGCACCAACAGCAAAACAACCAAGACTGCAATGCCAACCGTTTCCGGTGTGGTGATATATGATTTTGAGCAGAAGCGAACGACATGGACAGTGATTGGCTCTCCAGGGAACACTGTCCTGGCACCCAATCACCTCTGAGCCCCCCCAGCCTCTCAGGGGGGGCAATTTCTAACTATGACACCAGGACAGGTAGAAGCATGTAGCCTGGAAATCAGATGCATGCTGTCAACAGAAATTGTTTAAAGCTATGAAAATAACTTTTGAGTTTTTCTGCACATTTTAGACAAAAAGTATATAGGTTGTTTTTTTTTCTTTCCTAGTTATGAATTCATATATTAAAATTCTCCTCATGAATTCTAAAATATTGACATGTCAAACTTTAAAAGAGGTGTTCCCCATGCCATGGAGCTTTTTCAATTTTTTAATTGAAAGAAAAATAAACTTTCCCAAACGCATCTCTATATAATACCCTTGATAAAGAGTAAATGAGAGAAAATATCCGCTACATTCTTTTGAATCCAGGACAAAAGTTTCTCCAGTTATACTTGCTTATTTTCTTATCTTTCAGAATAAAAGAAATTTTTTCTTCCGCCCACTATCAGCATACAAAATAATATTTATGCTTTAAAGTGTGATCACAGGAAATGTTACTCAAGGATAAACACTGTTTTATGGGTGAAAGAAATTCGAATGTTTTGTTTCTATCAAAGATACCAGAACAGCCATCTGTATATAGGTTATGCTATCTGTAAGTTAGTGTCACTGTTTTACTGTTCTAGTGCCTGTGCTCTTATTTTTTTCCTGGTAAGGTTTCCGTAATATTCTTTTGTTTTCCAAACCAGTGAGAAAATCTTCCAGTTTCTTTTGTACTGAGCACTTAAAATATTGAAAAAAATCATTAAAAGAAATAATAAAAATATGGATGACACTGAGGGAAAAGTGTTATTGCCTGATTCAAGAAATTTACTCTCATTCCTGATACCATTTTCATACTCTCACAGAATATTTGAGGTTCAGAGAGACCAAAGCCACCAAATCCAGAAGGACATCAAGTAGAAATGTAAGTCTGTTTCTGGTCTGGCCGAATATTTATTGATAAATTCTCTTCTGCAAGGAAAGTTGTCTCCTGCCTTATTCACTGTCCCATAATCTTCCTTGGAAGGCAAATAAGTAACAGTGGGCCTTCTGTTGGAGAAATTTTTTTTGTTTATTGGTAAGCCAGAGAAGCAGCTCAACACCTGTTTGTGCTTCTTCTTTTCCCTTTCTCTAATTACTTACAGTGGACATTAAATTAGAAAAAGTAAATTGCATTTTAAATTACAGACCAGCTTAAAGTCACTCATGGAAGTTTCTTAAAATATTAGGAAAATTATAATTATGCTTACATTTTCACCATCATCTCCATTTTAACTCAGGCATTATCAGTAAGTAGAAAGTAATTACTTGAAGCCAGGTACACTATTCTAGGGGAGATCACAGGGAGGTGGAAACATGATAGAATTCCCTTTTCTGTATTCTAGACAAAAGTCAGAAAAAGCAAGAAGCTACAAATCATTTCCACCCCAGTGTGTCAGAGCCCACACGCATTACCTCCCTGACAACATCCCAGGACTTGGAGTTAAAGGGATGGAAACAAGGTGAGATTCTTCAAGGTAACACCCTTGCCTCTCAGACCATGTTTAAAGTCCCTACTGTTTTCTGAGGGGCTCCAGTAAGTTATTATCATGACTTTTGCCATGTTTGTGTGTTTATCATTCCTCTGGTTTTGCAGATGAGAAACTTCAGAATGGAGAAATGGAATGAAGTGACCAAAACAATTAAGGAATTGGTGAAAGACTCCAAAACTAAATCCAAATGAGCCCACGAGGCAATAAATCACAGATGAGTTTGGCATGAGAAAACTCTTCCTTTTTAAATGCTAGGAATGCACTTGCCATGGCCCAAGAAAAAGATGAGTCTTGATTAATCTCTAATCGAAGCCATAGTATGTAGAACGTGCCAGAATCAGAACACCAGGCACAAAAAAATGTTTGGAAAACATCAAATTTCCCAGGAATTTATCTAATGGCTGTGAGAATTTTTTGTCATTGCTAAACTTTCTACTGTTGGTTTTTTTTTTTTACTCACCTTTTCTTGCTAGCACATTCAATCAGATCTAATTTGTTTATTTTATTTGTATAAATAAAACACTACGGAGTTCAAGACAGCACAGCTCACAGATTGAAACCAGAAGATAATTTGATCATTCTCATGTTTTTCCCAGTGTGCTGGGTGGTTCTTTCTTTATTCCCTTCCATCCCCCTCCTCTCCTTCCTTCACTGCTGATGTTAATCAGAGAGAAAGGAAGTGACTGTTTTCCATTGAGAATGTTGATATTTGGTGAAAAAATAAGGGATGGGAGAGTGAAAGGTGCACAGAAAACAAAACAAAACAAAAAGTTTACTGATTAATTCCTTTTTATCTTTGCCAAATGTTGCTCTAGTGTGGGAATGGATGGAGCTGGCAGTCACTTTCACTAAGCCGGAAATACCATCTTTAATAAATTCAGTTAAAGGACTGGATGGACACATAAATCTCTTTGTGTGTGTTTGACAGAAGTAACGTAATGTCAGAGGAGAATTTAGCAGGGATCTGAGGTCAGCCTGTTTACTGTCTTTTTCCTTCTGCCTTTCTGACACTCGATACAAAGCTGAAATATTTATACTTAAATAAGTATTGCTAATGCAGGATATTGAGGTCATCAGCATGAGAACAGAGTGACAATAGTCTGTGTAAAAAATTATACAAGCTTCTTAAAAATGCTATATTTAATTGCACTGGGACTCCCTTTGCCTTCATTCTGCCTCCCAAAGCCAACATTTTATTTGGCTATGCATAATCCACCCTTCCACTGCCTAGCGGCTCCAAGGCTCAAATTCTGCTTAAACTGCTCTCAGGAAATTTTCATTATTACTACTTTCTAGGGCTTTGGTTGTTTACTGGGAACTTTGATCAATATTTTAGATTAACTAAATAATTGACTTCTGGTTCTAGTAAGTGTATTAAACCCTTTCTTTGTGTAGTACAATCATATTTTGCTGCATCTTCACAGACCGTGTACTCTGCAGCTGCTGAGGGAGCCAAATGACTCTCCATTCTGATATCATTTGTGCTGCTGAATCTCTACCAAAGGTGCCTGTGCCATTCATATCATTTTTCCTCGTTAGCATACAGCCTAAGGTTGTCTTCCCTGGTAAGAGTCTATACACGTGAGTTCATCTGCAGCCTCTAGATCCTAAGAGTATTTTCCCAATGCTTATGCCTCTTTTCAGTTGTAGTACATTAGCCTTGCTCTGATAAGACCATTATACATGTTTTCTGTCTCCTCTGCAAGACTGTTGTGGATTCTTTCCTCAAAGGCTCCTGAGAGCTCCTCAAAGCCTAGCCCCACTAATTTCCCTCCTCATAAATGCAGAGATGTGTGACTAGATCGTAACTACTGGTCTTCTCCTGTATATCCCCAATATGTGACTAAAAGTCACCTTCCTATTTTAAAAAAACTCCTATGAACTTGAGGCACCCTGAAGTATCTCAATTTTCTTTCTTTAATATTTAAATAATGATGTCAACAAACTGCTTGAACTGATAAAGGGATTGCCTTTGTAGATTTTGTTATTTGGAATTGCTCCCTCTCAGCAGTTCCCATTCCAAACTTAGTCTTAATCTAGAGAAAAAGTCCCTCCCCCCTTTTGTCTTGTTTTTCCTTAATTTGTACTTTCTTTTGAATATTTTTCTTTTTACTCAAATAATTTGGGATAGACTTTTAAATTCATTTATTTATTCAATATGGAAGGGTGAAAACAAACATAAGTGCATATACAGTTTGAAGAATATTTTTGATGAAAAAATGCAGTCTGCAAGTACTCCATCTGCTTACTCTTAAGTGATTGCTTAGTTTATTGGTGTAAGTCACAAATGGCTTTAAGTAATGAGTAATTTTATATCTCTTAGGTGATGTTCCAAAACTCTGCCACAAAAGAATGATTACACCATAAAGAGTCTCTAAATATTATTTTTTAGTGAGTTAAAATCTCACTATGATATTCACTAAGTACTGTATTTATGTCATGGGTTCTCCAAAAGTGGATACTCAGTAACAGTGACAATAGAAAACCCAAAAAGCTATGACAATGAATAATTCAGCTATTATGAAGCAATACTTTTACATTACTAAAAGTAATGAATGTGTTACTTCCCCTTCAGGAATGATTTGGTAGATTTGCCTTCATCCTACCTTTTTCTTTCCTATCAAGACAATATGACCAAGACAGTATAAACTAACTGGTAAGAACCAATTAGCGTTTTTAGTAAAAAATAGATCACAGAAAAAACTCATCCTTATTTTGAATGTTGTGACTGGGAAGAAAGTTGAAGAGATGGGAAACTTAATTAGTTCTGCTTGTAAATTATAGTCCTATGCCTTTTCCAGCAGTGACTTCTTGGTTTTGCAGCAAATGCCTCTGATATTTTCCAATTCAGAGTGCTCCCTTGCTGTGAGCCGCCTTGCTATGAGGCCACCTGGGATCAAAGCTACTTTCCCCCTCCTGTGGTCTCAACTAACTCCATTAACTCTAATTACAAACACTTCTGTTATACCAACCAGATTTTATGGCTTCCAGTGAGTGAGCTACACAGAGAAGGAGAAAGTCCACATGGTACTACTCAGTTCCTTCTTCAGCATTATTGCTTGCCATACATTAACCTCATCCATGGTAAGTTCGAAGCTAGAATCACTTTGTCTTTACCTTGTGTAATCAAAAGGAGGTTTAAATTGTTTCTCGAAGTACATCATTCCAGAAATTAATGAACTGGGACAAAGAAAAGGCTGTACAGGATTTAATTTGTCATATGTACTGAGAGTCCCAGAAACAGCTATAGTGTATAATGATGCCACTAACAACTTTTTCTTAATGCACAATGCCATAAAACAAAAGCGTGTCATTCTATATATACAACACACAGAGATACATGCATCACTTGCTCTCAACCTGTTTCCTGATGTCAACATTTTTCAAACTGTTCCTTAAATGTAAGTGGAAGATGGAAACAACCAGTTTATTTTAATGAGGATTGCATATTATATGACAGGGGGCTTACAGATTCTACCTGAAAGGGGCTAAATAATACAGTTCTGGACTTCCACATTAATGGTCACAAGTGAAAATTCCATTCTATAGACTGTGACGAGGAAAGCCTAACACTTTTCAGAGATGCAGAACCAAACATGCTCTAAAGCCTGAAAGAGCTTCCTCAGTCCCTGCTACTCCAAGAGATAAAATAAATTTGTTGATAATTAAATAGCATTGATGAACTGCCTGTCCACAGCTACCTATGGAAACACTGTCATAGTTTCTCCAGCAAGTACTACAGTCCTTTTTCACCTTTAAGAAGCCCATTCATGCTCAGCTCTGCCCTCGGTATGTGCTGTTTATCTGCATTTGCCTAAAAGTCCATGGAAGCAGCCAGTGTCTTTTACTTTAGCTCTGTGCCCAAGAAATCCCTGGGGTACTTTTAACGACTTTAACAGTCTGCAGAGCCAGCTGGAGAGAGTCCTTCCACAGCTAAGCACAGATCAAGCTGTCCTCCTCCCATGGAGAAGTTTCAGCTTCATCTCTGTGGCAGCCAATCATGCTCAAAGTCTCGTTGATTCCCTGGTACCTTATAAATCGACTTGCTTCTACAGCTGAGGGCTTTACTTCATTGAGGACGAGTGAAGATGTCAGTGGAGGAGAGCAGAAAAGATCAGCTGAAAATGAACCGAGAAACTGTGTAACAGGAAAATCAAAGTGGAAATCCCATAACGTCAGCCACCTAAAAGCTGTACATCTAATTTAAATTATCTAGGCTCCATCCACAATCAGTACGAAAATGCAGGCACTTCTGGAATGGATCATCTCAACCACCTTAGACATCTACTTCAGACTAAGATAAACTGTGTTTTGTAAATGTCTCTTTAACTTCATTTTTTTTATTTTGAAACATAGGTGGTTATAGAAAGAACCACATTGTAATTTCTTGAAATTACTCATTCTTCATTTCAAAAATAATAAAATTTTAATTCTTCACTTTTGGAAAGGCACTTTTTTCACAATATTCACATAACAGAATTCCTGGTTTTCCATAATTTTATTGGTCAGAATTAGTGAGTTTTTTCCTCCTCTGACTACAGAACTCATTTGCCTCAAAACAAATGTTGACACTTACAACAGTCATTTTTTCCAAAATTTCAAGATGGAAAAATTTTACCTAGTGTGCTAATATGTATCCTACAACATCATGGTTGACAAGAAAAGAAATCATCATTACTGCCATTTCTCTAAAAATTAGAAGAAAGGTTTTCAGTCAAAAGCAGCTGAAACTGCTATCACATCTGGAGATAGATTTCAGTAGTTATTTGTAAAAATAGATGCCTAAATTCATATTAATCACAACTAACCAAAGCTATAGTAAAGCACTTACAGACTTCAAGACGAGATCCAGCATTACTGGCTGTCTGAAATTGGTCACCTATTTGCTAAAGAAGAAGTAACCAACAGAGAATATTTTATTGACTAAGTGTCTCAGGAACAATAAAATCCTTTCAGGAAAGAAAAAAGATGCAAACCCACTTTTTAAAATTTCATCTTCGATCTATTTCTAAATCTAAATATGTGAAATGTTTAATCTTACTGTTGTTCTTACTCTGACAAATTCTGGCTGCAGAAGTTCGGGGTTTATGTGAGAAAAGACAGTGTTAAACTTACATCTAGATCATAGCCTGGCTTCCAGCCATACAGGAAAATTGAGGGTTATAAACTGTCCCCTTAGTCCCTAGGCATCTCAAGTTTAAGCTCAAGAGAA